ATTAGAGGGTGTGGGAAAGATCAGCCTGCTAGCGGTGGTGGTTTGTTTGTTAGAAATCACATGCAAATGAACAATTTATGGTGATACAGGGTCAGGTTGTGTCGTCTTTGTTTTCTACTGTAGAAATACAGAAAAATCCCGGCAGTAACCATTCTGTGACTCTTCAGGGGAATAAACGTAGTAAGGGATTCAGAGCTATTTAGCCTGTAATAGCTAAATTTCATCTATTATGCTGCAGGTTCATTTTTTTCAGGGTTCCTTCCTTTTCTTTCTTGAACTTGTTGTATTGCTGCTGGGTGCAAATAGGCTGTGCACAGCCGAGAAGCGGCTGCATCTCTCCGGCGGAGGCATTTGTTATCATGCTGAATTACTCACCACTGTAAAAATCCAGATAGCAAGGCTTCTAGTGGGTCTCTGAACAGCTTGTAAAGGAACTTTAATATTTGTTTCAGGGACAAAAGATACTATGAAATGCTTTACTACTGCAAATAAAACCAGCATGGTATTACTCTAAGCATCTCAAGAGAACATACGGATTTTTCTTTCCAGATTGGATGGGAAACTTCAAAGGAATAAAGCAGAGTTCTTCTGGAAGTTGAATTTTAATGTGCCAGTGGCATTTCCTGTTAATTAAAATTCAAAGCAGGCTGCTAATGTGAATGGCTTTTGTGGTTATTGTTGGATTTTTACATTCCTAAAGAAACAGTGCATAGGCAGGCAAAGATCCTTTAAAATAACGTTGTCTAAGTTACAGAAGGGTAATACAGCATTCGAAATGCTGTTACCTGCAGATTTTCATATTTCTAGTCGCCTCACAGGAGCTTCAAGAATAATGGGGGGGTTAACTCACCCTAAAAAAACCTTCTTTTGGTGATGTTAGTGCTAGCAGCAGCAAATGTAGTTAGACTGTATTTATGCACGCCAGTTCATTCTTGAGCCCCAGAAGTACTAAACCTTATAGATTTCTGTTTTAAAAAAATTAAGGATGCCAGAATAGTCCTGCTCTCACAGATGCCTGGATACAAAAAAGTAGAATTAGGTAATGCTATAATACACACACCTTTAATCAGCTCCTTTGGGGAGTCCCTGGGAAATATAAAAAGCATCTTGATTATGAGGCTGTGGGTAAAGCTGGCAGAAGCCAGGTCTTTGGCAGAGGCTGAGGATCCAGGTGATCCTTGCACCCTTCCCAGGTCTGCCAAGGCCCTGTTGACCTATGTGAGCTTGGGTAAAAGTCACTAACTCTCTCTATGCCTCAGTTTCCCACATCTGGCACCGAGACCATAAGCCTTCCTTTACAGAGAGGGGGCTTGTGAGATATCTTCTGATCTTTGAGCAAAAAGTGCTACAGAAGTGCCAGGATTCTGGCAGCAACTTTTGAGGGCACTTCTACACGTTCTGTGGTGTCAGTTCTGGTTTCATGCTCAAATGAAACCTTGTCCCTAGGTACCACCAGGATGCACCTAACCAGATCGGAGCCCATAAGTAAATCTGTAACCCATGCATTTGTAATGGAGCGGGACCTGATGTTATCATTCAAGTCTCTGAATCAGACATTCTGACCCATCAGAAGGGTCTTGCTGATGATCCTCCAGGCTGTGGGCTACAGAGAGCACGAGACCCGATTCGTTCCACTGAGCGAATCTGCTTTCTCGCAAGGGCAGCGACAGCCACAGGCGCAGAGCAGGGACAGCAGGGGCTCTTCCGGCGGCTCCGAGCTGCGCCGAGTACAGCCAGTTCCCTGGCTGGGGACAGAGACCTGACACAGTTCACAGGCGAGCTGGCTGCGCAGCGACCTGCACGGAGTCCATGTCCCTTCGCCGGTCAGCCCCTGCGTGCTAGGGCACGACGATGACTGTCTGTACAGAAAAAAGCCTCCAGAGCCAGAGCTGACACTGAGCTGCCTCCAGGAGGCTGGTCAGGCGAGAAGGGGTCCCCGTCGCTCCTGGCTGGCAAGGCGGCAGAGGTAGCCTTGAGATCCTGGTCTAGGATGTTTCCCAGGCTTATTGCCCCACCTGTTTAGCAGGGCTCTGTTTTGGCTCAGCCTGGGGCCGTGCCTTGCTCTCCCTCGCACTTTTGGGGAACAGTAGCCAACATCAGGGGAGTGAAGCTGGTAGAAAGGGAGCCTTGGCCCTTCCTTTTCTCCCCTCAATCTACAGAGCAAACAGGACAATGTAACATGCTAATAAATGTGCTTTATTGTACATTTTCCAGAATCATTAAGGATTTTGTCTCTGGATTGATCAAGTTCCACATTCAGTCAGTCTCTTCTGGTGGTTTTGGTTCAACCTCCAAAGGTTCCTACCTACAATGCAGCCCCGATGCAATTCCATAGCAGCAGTAACTGTGATTGAAAAGAGCATTGGGTCTGAGGGATGAATTACCCTGTGTG